TACAGGGGACTCCTGAAAGCATAGCTACCTCTCACAATAAAGGGGATGCATGTTGCCCCCCGCCCTACTGGCGGTGGTCAGGGAGTAGGGCGGGGTCGCCCCTGGGGGCTGACGACTAAGGCATAGGCCGTGCATTTTGCCAGAAGCTGCACCTCCCATCTACTTCCCACGCGGGCCACGCCCCCCAGCACTCACACAATGCACACAACCCTGCCCCTCCCCTCCCCCCCCACGACCACACACACACACACACCCATGGTGGCCAAAGACCCTTAGTACCAATACCCACTGGGGGAACCCCATAGCAGCCACATCCCAGGTGCGCACAGAACCCCGACATCCACCCATGATGCCTCCCCCCCCCACCACACACACACACACACAGAACCCCGACATCCACCCATGATGCCTCCCCCCCACACCACACACACACACACACACCCATGATGGCCAAAGACCCTACCAATACCCACCGGTGGTACCCTATATAGCAGCCACAACAAAGGAACATGCGAGAGCTGCACTCACCAGGAGGTGCCATACCTGCTACAGCAGGTGGGCTCTCTGGAACATCAGCAGTCTGTGCTCAATGCCGCTCTGGCGCACCGTCGGCCTATCTCTACTGGGTGGCAGGCGCCCAAGCTTAGAAAGGACGGAACATGATGCCAATGGGGATTAAACCCGAGACCTCCTGAACGCCACTTCCCAGCCTTACCAACTGAGCTAAGCCGGTTAATCGAGGTTATCCCCCATCAACTCTACGAGTTCTTGGAACGGCTGCCACGTTGCGAGGCCGGCTTTGTCCACACGATTTATTAGTACATGCCACCAGTATGCGGGGCGGACGAAGTGAGACCGATCCCCCTCCTCGTCTCTTGCCAGGCGATTCAGCGCAGTACAGGCGTGGCGTTTGGTCCGCACATCCTTCTCGCCGTCTAGAAGATACGCCAATCTAAACGCGGCGACAGTGGTCCCTGCCACCAACAGCTTTTCTTCGCTGTTTTCTATAACGTTTTTGGATCTCCCGGTTCGCCGGTCGTCTTCGTACACGTCTCGAACCTCCGTTTTGAGAAGGTTGTAGTGATGAGCAAGGAGGTAAGCCATCAACCTCGCCGGAGCGCTGAACACCTTCTCCAGCAGCTCCTTTCTGAACTGCTCCAGCAGCTCCTTACTGGGCGAAGGGCTATTACCATTCAAAAAAGGAAGCATGAACTGCTTCCACCTGGTGTTTTGCCCTTTCCAAGCCAACTCGAACTCAGGTGAACCCCAGGAGTCGAGCTGAAGACGGACAATATCTTTGTAGAACGTCCTGCCGCACGTCCTCACAAGATAATTGATCAATTGCCCAGCGCACGCTCCTTGCCTTTCGTCGTTTGCTTGATACAAGTAGGATAAGAGCAGATCGCACGTCAACATGGCCGTGAAAACGAGCTCCGGAGGTGACGTGAAGTAGCGTACTTGCAGGAGGCGGGTGAGCTCCGTGATTTCGAAGGGAAAGAGATTGCCAGCTCCCAGCACGTGATAGGATTCGAGGACGAAGGCGATCAACTCCTTGGAACCGCGAGAGCTGCCGTGAGAGAGAGCAAGGGAAATCAAGCACGGAAGCGCTTTCGATTCCCGAAAGCAGGCGCGCGCCGGCGCAATCCATAAGCGCTCGACACTGCCCGTTTTTTCCCTCTTTGCGGGTGGGCGGCCGCCCTCGTCAACCATCACCGGCGGCGGCGGCGGCGGCGGTGGCGGCGGCGGGTACCACCGAGGTGCGAGCCGGGAGCTCGGGCTCTTGCTCCATTTATCTAGATCGTCGAAGCTCGTCAGCGATTCAAGAGCCGTATAGTTGGCGTATTCTTCGGGCGGGTAGACGATGACGCCCAGGAGGTAAAGCGCGTACAAGCAGATGGTGTTGGTCGATGCTTTGGCGGCCGTGTCTACCAGTTGCTCTACGCGGGCTTTGCCCTCTTCCCCGGAGAAGACGAACTCCTTGACGCCGTGGCGATGAGTGAGGTGGAGAAGTGCAGCCATGGCGTTTTCCTGCAACTTGGGCGACGGCTCGCCGCCGACCACGGCGCTCAGGAGGGCGACCGCGACCTTTGCCAGCCGAGCGCTCGTGACGCTGCGCAGGGGATCATACGGACGGC